GAAGAAGAAGAAGAAGAAGAAGAAGAAGAAGAAGAAGAAGAAGAAGACCAAGAGGAGAATGATCATGATAAAGATGAAGAAAATGATAAAGAGATAAAAGAACTGGAGACTGACAATTCTGAAGAGGAATTAGAAAGAGAGCTGCAAATCAAATTTATGCAATTCAGCCTCTATGGAACCAGTGAAGATTACAGTTCAATAAGTAAGTCAGAGGAAAAAACAAAGGAATTGGCTAGGGTGGGTGTAAAAAGGCTAACTCTGAACATGTATCATGTGCATGCTTAGTTTTCAGTAGCTTTGTATTCTTGAAGTTGTACTTGATTTGTGACTTGGTCCATTATTTAAAGCTATATTTATATACAAAAATTATTTCTCCACATCTTTCAGTCATGGGAATTCGGAAACTGATTCATTACAAAGAAAAAAACCTCACACGGATTTATAAAAAAGCACAGCGACAGACAGAATTCCTTGAGACTTCGGACAACTTTACCCTTAAAGTAAGTTCTTTTCAGCTGTTAGACACCCTGATATCTTACTTTGAAAATCCCATTTTTTATTTGTTTCAGCCAAAAGGACCAGATTAATTGAAAAATTTTGTCAGGTGTGCTGAAATAAGAGTGAATTATACCACATACACACACACATATATATACATATATATATGTGTGTGTGTGTATATATATAGGTTTTTCAAGACAGGGTTTCTGTGTAACAGAGCCCTGGCTGTCCTGGACTCGCTCTGTAGACTAGGCTGGCCTCAAACTCACAGATGTCTTCCTGCCTCTCACTAATATAAGAATTATTTTATTTTTATGGATATGTTTTCAGGTTTCAGTGAAAGAAAAATATTGATATTATCACATTTGCTCTCATCTTGGTAGTAAGATGATTGTAAAGCACTAAGAGAATCCTTTGCTAGATTCATTTTTTTTGAGCAGTAGTTGTCAAATGCAAGCAGCTTGGCACTTTGCCTGTAGTCCTTTAGAATAACCAAAGATAATAACTAAAAATATATTTTAAATATTCAGATATTTGATACTATTGTGGTATATGTGTGGTTTGTAGATATGTGTGTTAGGGTAATAATGTTTTGTTTTAGTGAGAGGAAATGGAAGAAGAATCTACAGTAGATTCCAAGTCAGCTTCTTCAAAAAGTCATAGGCAAAGGATTTGTACAGCACTAGGAAAAATGTAGCATGTATATATTTCACCCATTTATTTTAGGACAAGAAAATACCTTAGAGGGTATATAAAATTAGATAGGATTTCACAGGAGTTAGGGAGTAGTTTTATGCTCCAGTGTGTCTAAAAAGAGTACTTGTCCTATAATTGACAGCTTTCTTATCAAATATGTGACAAACTGTGTTCTGTGGTTTTCCTTTCCATTAAGATACATCTTTCATCATGGATCCAACTCTTTTTTTTTTCCAGAGGTACTTTGAGAATACTTTGCGGCACCTTAGCAAATTGGAAAAACAAAAGTGTGAGCAGGTAAGAAGTACGTTGTAATATAAGTAATTTCCTATGAATATTTCACCCACTCTAATCTAATGTGTCTCAAAAAGAATAGTAGTAAAATATATTCTGAGGGACAATAGCAGGGTATAACAAGATCTTTTTGAAAGTCTGTTCATTCAACACTTATTGAATACCCACAGAGTGGAAAAATACTGGAGAAAAAGTGTTGAATAAGACAGATACAACACTTGTCCTCATAGAGTTAATGGTCTGCCAGGGGTAATTGATAGTAAACAAATTATCACATAATATATAGAAGTGCAAATCTCAAACAAGTGCCATGAAGGAAAAAAAAAAGTCAGAGTTTCCATTAGAATAAGGAGAATCCTGAATTAAATTACAAGAACTTGGCAAAGCTCCCTTGAGGAAATTTTATTTTTGCTTAGACCAGAAGAGTAAGTCTAACAAACAGTAGAATGAGCCTCTTGGGTGGAGCATATTCAAGATCTCACTTAGGAGAGAACTTGACTACTTTGATCATGTTTCATGTAAAACAATGAAGAGCATTGTCTGACATAAGATTAGAAAATAAAGCAGAAGTTATATTATTTGACATGTAGGATAGGATAGGAAAGATGGGTTAAGTCTTAAGTGGGTTTAAACAACTTCTTGCTAACTATGAAGTAGGAGAATCAGATGTAGCTTAAAATTTATTTAAAAATTTTTATTATACTTGAGCTTGTGTGTGTGTGTCTGTGTGTGTATGTGTGTAGATGATTCCCTTATTTCATTAAGGGGATAATTATTCTTCCATTTAACATATCTTTAGGTAAATTAACCTTCCTAAGGAGTAGTATTTTGGCCAGCTGGATTAATTCTTAAGGGAGGAGTCAACAATATATAATGTTCTACTTTTTAAGGGAGATCAGAATGTCATGCCCTTACCCTGTGCCAGGAATAATTGGACTCATATTCAATTATTTTAGCAGAAGGAAGTAGTTTTCCCTCATTGAACCTCAGCAAAGTCCAGAAACTCTACATTTCACATCATAGTTTATTCCCAAGGAGGGGCAAATGTGAAGAATACCTTTCTAGTATCACCATGGAAATGGTATATAGGTCCATATTCAATGGTCTCTAAAGCTGTTAATCCCTATCTAGCTACCTAACATGTATGGCTTGGAAGCAAAAAAGAAAGGAAGCAACCAGAGTCGCAAATCCCCTTTGAGGGCATATTTCATACTACTTAAGATAACTCCACCAGTCCCTACCTCTTAACAATTCCTCTACTTACAGGCTAGAGACCAATGCACATGGGCTTTCAGGGTATGTTCCAGGTTCAAAATTGTAGCAAATTTACAGGCCATGAAAGGAATCAAAGATAAGTCTGAAGCCTGAGTAACTGAGAAATAGTGTACCAGTAACTGACGTTAATATAACAAGATGAGAATTTAGAAGGTACAAAGGGTGAAAAGATGGCAACTTTCATTAGACATACCTTTGAAAACGGAGCACTGGAGACCTGTACACAAAAATGAGCATTGAAGATGAGGGGTTTACAGAATTAGCCAGGTTAACATGTAAGTTCAACAAGAAGTTTGACGCTAGGGAAAAACCTACCTGAAGGGGGAGGCAGAAAAGAGTCTACAAAAGAGGAAGAACTAGAGATGTCACTGGTTATAGTAAGGGGTCATTTAGCATCTGAATGAGAAGAACCTAACTGAGTTCACAGACTGAAAGTTCACACTACTTCTTATCCTTGCTAATACAGATTAATCAAAGTTGAATAATATTAGGAAGCAATCTCTATCTCAAAGGTAGTATACATCCTTGAATTTGATTTTACCATTTTAAGTTTCAAAAACATTAGATCCTGGACTACAAAAGGCCCATGACATCTGACTTAGCATGAATAGAATATTAAGATGCTGATTGGTCAGGATTCTGACTGAATTGCTAAATGTCTTGTAAACCCAGCAAGGAGCAGCAAATAAAACTTGGCATTAGCAGTCAGTTAGTGATGATTGCAGCATTCGTTGTCAGTGGTTATAGCAGAATCTCATTAATTGGGCAAAGTCTAGCAAACAAACTAGTATCAAATGTCCAGCCATAATAGGAACATCTATAACATCCTTCCCAAGATTCTGGGAGCATCACTGAAGAAGAGACAAAAAGAAGGTAATAGCCAGAGAGAAAATGGGTAGTGGATAGGGTACTGACTTCTAGGCATGGCATTGTTGCACGTTTGAACGCACAGTAGCTTTGATTACCTATACAAGATTGGGCCTGTTGATAGATTGTCATGGAGAGTTTCACCCATCCCTGAGGATTTATATATAGATAACATTTGATGGGGGCTTTAAAGAAAAAAATCATTGGAAAAGGTACACATGCTATTGTGAACAACCCTAATGAAGCTCATTGGGTCAGAAAGACATGAAAGCAGAAGTGGTGCTAGTTGGAAATAGGGAGGCAATTAACTAGAGAATACAGAGGAGTGAGAGTGGAGCAATGATAAGAGGTGACACAAATATGTTACGTACATGTATGAAAATACTATAAAGAAACCCATTAATGTGTAAAATTAATATATTCTAATAAAAATTTAAAACAAGATGGCTCAACTTTTAAAGGCACTTCCTACTGAGCCTGAAAACCTGCATTTGACTCCTTTAAGAAATCTAGATTCTTAATTAGAAAACATGTTCAGTTTTTGAGCATAGTCAATTTTAAGCTTCGCTTTAATGTCTGGTATACTAAAAAAACATTGTGGTCATAGCATTGTACTTGAGTTCTTGATGGTGTGACTGTTCTTTGGAACATTGTGAGACTAAGATGAGCTAAAAAATGTCAAGTAACAGTTGATTTTTGGTCTATATAAGTAAATACTAGATGAAGTAATACATTTTAAGATTGTACACAACCTGTTTCCTGTTTTCCTCCAATTTGTAATCTGAAGCAGTGAGGAATTCTGAGAAGTTTTATGTGTGTGTGTGTGTGTGTGTGAGAGAGAGAGAGAGAGAGAGAGAGAGAGAGAGAGAGAGAAAGAAAGAAAGAAAGACTAAGAGTTTATGGTCTCGATACATATATATATGTGTATATATATATATATACACACATATATATATATTGTAGAGTATTTTTCTGAATTCTGGCTGCAGGTCAAAAATTTAAACACTTTTTCTGGATAAGCTTCAATCCTACGCTTATGAGTTGTATCTAGGGATGGGCCCCTCTCTAAACAGAATCCTTTACCTTCTTAATATTGAAAGTTCAACTTCATATGAACCAGGGATTTTAAATATCAGAGGCTAAATATCAATAATATGTTCTGTTCAAAGAAAGTTGAGATTCATGTTTACAAAACGAGGTAGAGAACAATAGTACATGTGGGGAAGCACCTCAAGGACCACTGAGACTCAACACCATCTCAAGTTACATATTTGGGAGTTCAGAAAGGAATACTAGTCAGTAACAGTTTTTTCCTTTGTTGAACAACTTTTTTAAACCTTCATTGGTCCGAAGTGGAGGAAATAAGCTATAAATGTTGATGATTTAATCAGCTATAATTACTTGGAAACAAACTACCTGAGTATTATATTACATCTTAGAAATTGGACAAATGTCTATGGGTATTATCTTTTACCTTTGACTAGTCTTCAAATGGCTTTACCTGTTGTACATGCTTATCATTTTTTTGATATGGTAAAGAAGGAGCTATGTCATACTTTTGAAATTGTAACAAAAGATGTTTTTCAAAAATAAAGTTTGGAATACCAGAAAAAAATCATACAGCTTTTATCTTTTTCTGCCTCACTCAACTTACAGATTTATCACCTACAGGAACAACTGAAATGTTTTTTGAAGGAGTAAGGAAACTCTCGGCGTAGCACAAAAAGTGGATTCACCTTCCAGATGAAGACCAGGTGGAACCATAAACCTCTATCGCTCTGGTTACTTTATCTTGACCAACTGTAGTTATTGAGTATTTTTCACTAGTTATAGTAAATTTGAAGACCAGAGTCATATAGAAGGGGGCAGTATAAAATGCATAGTAGGTTTAGATAGCCCACTTAACACGGGGCTTTGTTTCTCTTTGTTAATATGACATTAGATAGAGATATAGATACAGCTTTTATTCTATGGTTCCATGAGATCATTCAGCAAATGTTTGTTAAAGGCAGGTGGTGTAGCCTAAAAGGAAGCAGGAGTGTTTTTCATAAGTTATCTTTTCAAACCCTATTTTAAGTATTTCTTACAATATAGAAAATAATCATTTTTTCAGCTGGTAACTCCAGCAATCAAGAGGCAGAAACAGAAGGTCACAGTTGAAGGCCAGCCTGGGCTATGTATGAGATCCTGTCTCAAAATAAAATAAAAACATGAAAACACCCCTAACTTCTATCAAGAACTGGGCATGTGTCACAATTATTTAAATACCTACCCCTCAGCAGTAAGTACTAGGCTGTGCCTTGCCTTTTTCAGGTAAAAGGTTGTTTTTCTTCTCACTGATGATACCTTACTACTTATCTTTGCTCTATGAGTAGGAACTGAGGGCTGTAGCTGGTCATTTATCGAAGAGAAGATTCAGAGCCAAGATGTTATCCTTAATCTGTCTTCCCATTGTAACTCCTATAAGAAAAGATTAATAAAAACTAGATTCCTGTGATGCCAAGAAGACTGGATTTCTTCTTTTTTAATAATTTATTTAATTGTATTTTATGTCTGTTGGTGTGAGGGCATCAGACCACCTGGAACTGGGGTTACAGTTGTTAGCTACCATGTGGGTGGCTGGAGTTGAACCCGGGTCCTTTGGAAGAGCAGACAGTGCTCTTAACCACTGATTCATCTCTCCAGCCCCCTAACAACCCTGGATTTCATAGAGATTTTTTTAAAGCTGTGGCATTAGAGCATTCTGGTTGTGTGTGTGTGTGTGTGTGTGTGTGTGTGTGTGTGTGTGTGTGGTGTGATGAGGGAGGGAGGGTGGGATTGGGAAGGAATGATGGAGGGGGCTACAGCTGGGATACAAAATGAATAAACTGTAATTAATATAAAAATAAAAATTTAATAATCAGAAAAGGAAAAAAAATGTCTATTTTAAACAAATGGCTGGGGCTGGAGAAATGGCTCAGAGGTTCAGAGCACTGCTTGCTCTTCCAAAGGTCCTGAGTTCAATTCCTAGCAACCACATGGTGGCTCATAAGCATCCATAATGAAATCTGGTGCCCTGTTCTGGCATGTAGGCAGAACACTATATACATAATAAATAAATCTTAAAAAAAAAAAAGAAAAAAAACTTTAAACAAATGGCTGTCAATTTTTTGTGGTGCTTTTGATCAAACTCAAGGCCTTGCAGCAAGTTAGTCAAGTACTGTACTACCCTCATTCCTCTACAAGAATCAGGCTCATATTAAAACACAACAGTAAACTTTGCCTTGGTCCATTTAGTACACCATAACAAAAATACCTTACTTCTCAGACTCTGGAAGAGTAAGAAATATAATATTAAGGCATCAACAGATGTGGTCTGACCCCAGATGGTGTACAACCTGACTTATACTTCATAACTTCTTGAGCATCATTACATGGAAGAAGAAAAAAAATATTCCAGGCCTCTTCTTATAATGGTATTTCACAGGCCTTTTTGACCTTCATGACTCAAAAGCCCCACATGTTAAAAACCACTATAGTGTAGGTGATGTTTTAACATAAAAATCTGGTAGACACATTCACATTGTAAGCTCTTTCTGATAGGAAATGACACAAGATGCCATCAGCATACTAGAGAGCCTTTCTAAAGAAGAGTTCATGGATTACAAAATAGCCTATGTCCTTTTGAAAGAAGCAAGCAATCACATCATAACTGTATAACACTGGGATTTGGAGCAAAAGGATAAAGAGACAGAATACAAATAAGCATCTCCAATGTTTCAATTAAATATTCATGTTGTAGAATGAATATGTGGTAGCAGTTGTGGTACCACTTGTCTTGTAAGTAGGTTACCTCTTTGAGCCTCCTCTAGTAGTTATCTAAGGTGATAAGTTTATCACCAAGAGGCTTTGTTGGGTTTTTGACTGCTCAGATAGACCCGGGTCTGGTTCCAATTGAAAAAGCAAGCAACTGCTCCAACAAATATACACTTAGGTTCTCTGTACCATGGTTAGTGTTCTATCCCAAATGGAAATAAGCAGTGGGAAAAGAAGAGTAAATCAGTCAGTATGGATGGGGCCTTGGAAAGAAGATCAAAGACAGGAGGAATACTAAGGGAAATACAAAGAAAGAAATAGAACCAAAGGACATAAGTGTGTCCAAAAAAAAGTTAAGCTAAGTATTAGGAGAGAAGTATGAGAAAATCTTAAAAGCAAAGATGATACAAAAATGTTTTCTAGAAACCTAGAACTGAAAAGATAGGAAGAAGGAGAAAGATAGTGGGGAAAAGAAATTCTGTGTCAAGGTAGGCCAAGAAGTTGAGTTTGAAATGGAGATGGACCTTCCATGTCAGCCAAGGTGGAAGACTAGGACACAAAGGTCTAACACACTGCTAGACAGGCTGAGGCAGTAAGAATGGCACATGTGCCACACAGGTGGCATTCAGGAGTGATATACGTAAGAGACCCTTCTTGCTATCTTTGTCCAATACTCTAGCTTGAAAGCAGCCAGAACCCTCCTGAGAGGCAGGGAAGGAGGTCAGACAACACAAAGAAATAAAGATAACCTTGTACATCTTGAGTGCCCTTCTGTCCTATTCCTTTTTTGTTGTGTCTGTGTAAGTAATAAACTACAGATCTGGTTATCTTGTCTTATCATGAACTGACATCTTAACAATTCTGAAGACTTAGGAAAACCAGGTAAAATATTCTAATAATTGTTTAAATTAATAATAACATTAATTATAATTGAATAGCTGGAAGGATAGTATTTGTTGAGTGGGCTAAAATATTAAAATTAATTTCCCCAATTTACTTACAGTTTTTAGACATGCTTTAAAATTTTAAACTATGGATGTTAGTTGCATTTGTACTGAACAGTATTAGTATGGACTGGCAAGGAAAGAAAAATTGGTACAGATGAAGAACTAACAGGGTTTTATTTTGACATGAAATAGCATTAAATGATCACCATTATTTCATGGGGACATTTTAACACACTCACAAACACACACACACACACATACACACACACACACACACACACACACACACACACACACCACATTCGGAGCCACAGTCTCAGAATAAAGGATAGAGCTTAACTGAATAAATATGTTTTCATGGAAACTCACAGCAGTAACCCTGATTTATCTCCTATTGTTTCAGCTGCTAGAAAAACTCAGAAGGATGAAAAAATTTAGGAACCATTAACTTATCCTCTGAGGCAACCTCTTCCTTGTAGAAGGGGAAACTTGAGGAACAACCAATCCAGGCCACTGTGGCCTGTTTGGCAGTGTTCCTGTAGCTTCTTGACCTATGCTCTTTTCTTTCCACCCCAAAATATTGGAAGAAGGTACAATGTCGTGATCAGAGAGAATAACCAGTGGAACCAAAGTAAACAAATACAAATTTATTCTTTTTAAAGCAGAATTCAAGAATAAAATGGGAAAAGCACCACAGTGAGTGGCAATTGAATTTAACCCATTTGCTCCTACCCCCAGCCCTTCATCCTGAACTTTTATATATGCATGCCACCCTTAACACCTCACCAATCTCTTCCCTAATTTTTATCCTTGTGATTCATTCTTGCAGCCAGCAAGCAACATAGCAGACTTCAGTCTGCCCTTAATACTATTTGGGAACAGCAAGGATATTCAGCAGGTCTCCTTCTAAATATGACAGCTAAAGAAAGAGAAGGACACTGGAACTTTGAGTTTTTCCCTCTCCAAAGTCAAAACTGTTAAAACAGTGAAGAATTGCTGAAGTATTTCTTTGTTCCAAGTACCAGATTTCTGCAGGGAGTCCCACAGATTGGGCTGCCCAGCTGAGGAACTAAATTTCCACAGCTTTAGGGCCACGTCTCCAGGTTGTCTCCCAGGACTATTCGTAATAAGCCAGCAACTTTGTTGGTTGTCAAACAGTATCAAGGAAAATTGAGTGGAATTAATGCCAGAAAACAGTCCCAGAGACCACAACTCTGCCACTGAAAATGAGTTCAAAAATTAGCCTAAAGCTGGGCATGGAACTTCCAAACCTATTTAAAACATATACTGTAGGAAGCAAGGGTATTTCTTAAAATTAATCTGGTGGCAAAAGATCTTCCAGGATTTGCATCTGCCTTGGCCTTTGGCTTGTTTTTAACTATTGTGGCCTGCCAGACTAGTTCACAAAACAACTGAAATCTCAATCAGGTTTCTCCATAGTGAAGAACTGCCTGATTCTGGGCCTTGAGAGAAACACTGAAAATCTTGATTCTGACCTTTGCATTCTGAAGAGATGGATACGTGTCCTCCCGGGTGGAAAATTCTCTATGGAACTATATACCACAGCCTCATGTCTTCCAGCTGGTCGGCCTTCCCTAACAATTGCCAATTAATGTGAAGCTACTCTGTGTGAGCTGAAAGCACAGCTACTCTCCCAATGGCTTATTGTTCTCCATGGAATTCTGTCCAGAATAAGTTGCCTGCGCTATTGGATAACAATTCCTGTAAACACATTACTCATCACTGATGCTAATCTTCTAAGTCAGAAAGTTTTCCTTAGACTACTAACCCAGCAACTCCTTCACTACCTTCCAGTCTATGGTCATACATTACACAAGACTCCTTTAGGAGTCACAATACACAACAACATACCCAACAACACAGAACACATTTTGCTAAATTCAACTCCAGTGTGGATTCACACTGTCCAAGGAGCCATTTTCCTCACTGCAGGCAAACTGCCTACATATGCAGCAGGGACTGCCACTGGATCCTTGAACAATATACACACCTCAGGCATTGCAGGTAAACATAAATGGAAAAGTGCTAGTGACTCCCTTAGTGAGACTTCAATTTTGACCTGCTACTTCAGTCTACCTCCAGCACAAATCCTACATAACAAGAGCAACATCTTTTCTACCAAGTCCAGTCCAATGCAGTTGTCCCAGACACTCAGTGGTCTAAGAACTTTTGAGAGTGATTGGAGGTTTAAAAAAAAAGGACCCTTATAAAAGATTGTTCCATAGTATCTGTTCTCCTAAAGCATGGGGAGGCACATATTCCACAGTTTCTGAGTCCCCTGATCCACAACAAATTTATCTAAATTTTGTCCACAATCTAGGCTCCTACAAAGAATGCCTTATTCTGACTGATGACCTGGTTCTATGTTTGATGCTTGCCTACCAAATGCTCACAAAATAAGTAGATATTCTGTTCTCCTTTCCAGAGACATCCAGACAAGAAATTTGAGCCCTGAACCCATGGCTTGGTTGGGGGGAATGCAATCTTGGCTTCTGGAGCCAAGGTACTGTTCTCTCTGGAACATATCAGTCTAGGATCTTAGCAGTTCCATCTGTTTGCCATGGCCTGATTTATAACACAGAACTCTAATCATCTTCCTCCCTCTTGACCTTGGTGACAATCTCTGCATTCTAAAAGGCAATGATCCAGACCTTAGGAACTAATAGGGACCATAGGATGAATTCTGTCTTAGCCTGGCAATGGCTAACATATGCCTTTTGTTCCTTCTTTTCTGTGTGGACTGGGTAAAGCTTGAATGTGTTCTATTTCGGTTCCTGAATCATTGGTTAGGGGTGGTAAGAAATTTACCCAAGGCCCAAGTGTCAGTGGAACAAAGTTTGGAATTAATACAGAAAACAGAATGCCTCTTCCTGTTAGATAACTCTGTGGCCACAGACTTTCATTTTGTTGGTCTCAAGGTCAATTCACCTCAAATACCAGTAAGAGAGAAACAACCTAGGGACACAGCCAGAGTGCATTTATCATCTCAACCAGAGACTGAGGCTAACAAAGAGCAAGGCAGGACGCTAATTCTTTAAGAAGTATTAGAATTTAATGTGTGAATGAGGCTGGGAGAGTACTGATGTACAGTAGATATGCAGAATATATATTTATATATAAACTCAAAATTTAATCAATCTCCAGGCTCTTGGGAGAAAGCTCTCCTCTGTAGACTGTAGCCTAAGTGGGCATTGCCTCTGTTCAAGTTCCCTAGCCCACTCTTCCCACCTCCACACTCTATGTTGAACAGTTGTTAGACAAAGGAATTACAGTATATACAGCTTTGGAAAAGTTAGTTCATTTTGAGGGACTGGGTACACCTTTCAGTGTTAGCAACAGTTTTATACACGGGAAGACCTTGCTGCTATTCCACCTTGGGTGGAATGTGGCCAGTTTTCTAATTCAAGTCTAGTGGCTTTTAGGCAGCAATCACTATTCAGGTTGGTGAGTTGTAACTTCCCAGTGAATAGTTAAGGGCAATCAGCCACCTCACCTAGTCCACCTATGGTATCAAATGGTTATAGCCTGGAGAGTGTCAGGCCCATACTCCCCTAGGATAGGGGTTTTCCTTTCCATTCTAAACCAAGGAAAGAGAGAGCAAGGTCTCCTTGTTGAAGAAGCTACACTCCTTCCCCCATATTTGTGAGGACAGACTCAGAAGAACAAAGAGTAGCTTCATATGGGTTTCCAGAGCATCTCAATGAGTCTCTTGGGATGCCAAGGTCATCAGGAAACAGGATAGGGTATATAAACCCATAAGTTTTTCTTTAATGTTTCCAAACATAGAGTGGAAGCATATCTACAATGATTTGTTCCCCCATTGGAGATGCTCTGATAGGTACTGTGGCATAATGAATAAAGATATTTGAGGAGAAAACGTAGGTGGAATCCTGAAGAAGACTATGTTCTGGAGCTGAAGTATAGGACATACATGGCCCAGACTTCCTAAGGGGCAACTAGAAGGAGTGTCTCAGGGATACCCATTTGCCTCTTTCAATTGGGCCAGAGAGTAGGACTAACCCCTGGGGGATCAATAATCCAGACACCTTGGGTCATTAGGCTTTTCCCTCCATGATTCTATGAAGAAGGGAAAGGGACCAGTGGGCACTGCTTAGCCTTGCAAGGTATTTTCTGCTCCTCATCTGGATGACAAGTGCCTTGGCCTAGGTTGCAACAGCAGAATACCATAAGGGACAGGCTCAATGTTAAGGATCAATGGGTACATTTCTGGAGTCAGAGGAAGTACACCTCTCTTCCCCCTTTCCCCGCCAAATTTCACATACCATCAGATGCCTGCTGTTGCCCCAAGCCCAAATATCTCTGGTTGAGGAATGTGGGGCCAGTGGGTACTGGAAAGGTTGGGCAAATATTAAGGGAAGGCATTGACAAGAATCAGGAAAGGACTATGAACTACAGGATTGGCATCTGACTCCATCAAGAGGCCAGCAGGGTGTTTTCAGTCACATCAGAGCTTTGCACACTGGGGAAGGCATGGCGGAGCTTCTCCATGATGTCTTCTAAGCATAGGCTGACATCCTGACTCTTTGACCCCACATCATCTAAGTTGGAAGAGAGAGATTTGGAAAGGTAACTTGAGATTTTCTTTATAAGAAGGAAGCCAAGAGGCTGTGGTAGGGTGCTATTAGCTGAATAGTGGGCCCAGAGTACTTGCACCCTCCCAGTCAAATGACTAGTATGGAGGAGACATTAGACATTTTTAGAAGAAGCACATGAGAGAAACAGTCAAGAAATAAATTATAACCAACCTTAGTCTCAGCTCTAATAAAACTTTGGGTAAGACAAATTGCTGGAGGAAGGGGCTACATGGAGGAATTTACCTGCAGCCTCTGTGTCTGGAGTAGTCTGTCCCTTCTCACGGGGATGACTGCCTTCTGACTGGCGTGGAGAGGAATCTAGAGACGAGACTACAGAGCCATTGCCTTCTGACTCGGCGGGTGGCTAGAAAGAGATAAGACATGATTGAAGTGGTTTTGCCTTCCTGACCTCATTCTTAGACTCCTGAGCTTAAAAAAGGACCTTCGAGACTTCTCACTTATACTTTTGTCCTGAATCTTTAAAGAAGCTTTTCACAGTTTCATAAACCATGGTTTTTCCCCTTTAGGAAAACTGTTTAGACTGTTCAATTATCAATTCAATTTCTCTTTTAACAACATGAGTCAAAGGTTCCTGGTTCTAATAAGAACAGCACTACACCTAAGGGTCTCTTGCTGCCATTTCAACTATAATTAAGCTGTTTGGAGCCCAACTTTCTCTAGAGTTTCAGGATTGCACATCTGATCATCAGTTCATGACGTAACAGTGTATGACAGAAAAGTCCAGGAATTCATTAGATACTGTCCCTTGAACTAGAGAGGGCAATGAAATACATGCCATAAGAAAGAAAACTGGGGGACTGACTGGGAGAGAAGGAGGGAAAGTAGAGGGGGAGAGGGGGCAAAGGGGAAGGCAATGAGGGATGACAATAGATAAGAACAAATTACGATGACACAAATGTACAAAGAGGCCATGATGAAAGTATTACTTTGAATGTGAATTTAAAAACTAGTTAAGGAAGTAAAAAGGCTGTTCCATGGATAATACAGAGAAGCAGGGACACTGCTGCATATGATGACAATGACAGTTAATATATATGATTAGTGTGCTATATTCCTGGTATCTTGCTGAATTCTGCACATGCATTATGTGGTTTTCAGGATGGTTACAATCATATGATGTTGGTGTTATAACTTTTTAAATTTTTATTATTATTACTGTGTGTATGTGTGTAGTTGTATTTATGCCACAGAGCATATGTGTAGGTTACAGGATAATTCCATGGAGTTGGTTTTCTCTTTCCACCTTTACATGGGTTCCAGGGATTGAACTCTGGTTGTCAAATCTGTGTGGTAAGGACTTGACCAGCTGAGCCATCTTGCTGGCACCTTTTTAAAAAGATTTAATTTTATTTTTCTGTATGCATCTGTTGGTATGTGCCACATTTATTTGGTTACTTCCCAAGGCCAGACGAGGTGTCGGATTCCTTGGACCTGGTGTTACTCATAGTTGTGAGCTGACCCACATGGGTGTTGGGCAACTGAATTCTGGTCCTCTGGAAGAACAGCAATTTTTAGCTGGTATTATCCTTACCTCTGTTTTACAGATTAAAAAGAAACTGGCCTAGCAAGGCTGCTCCTCCCTTGGGGGTGGGGGTGAGGGTCGAAGAGCTCACCATTGAGTTTATGTCAGAAACAGTCCCTGTTCCCCTTACTAGAGAACCCACTTGGATACTGAGCTACCACGGGCTATATCCGAGCAGTGGTTCTAGGTTATATCCATACATGGTCCTTGGTTGGAGATACAATCACATATAAGACTTCTGTGCCCAGATATATTTGGTCCTTGTGGAGCTCCTATACATTGCAGCCAGTCCTGAAGAGACCTGGTAAGCTAGGGTCAGATGGAAGGGGAGGAGGACCTCCCCTATCAGTGGACTTGGAAAGGAGCAGGGAGGAGATGAGAGAGGAAAAGTGGGATTGGGAGGGAATGAGGGAGGGGTCTACGGCTGGAATACAAAGTAAATAACCTGTGATTAATATAAAAAAATTTAAAAAATGTTAAAAAAAAAAAGAAACAAACTGGCACTAACTGTCAGCACTATATTCAAACCCAGGTTGTCTGACCCTAGAGATGCTTGACCTCAGGGACAGAAGGAGAAAAATGCAACAAACGAGCCTTTTATTGCAATTTTTTTCTCCTGCCAAATATGTCCTAACCTGAAAAAGCCACACTTTGGATTGTGTGTTGGCATATATGTGTACATGAGTGTGTACACATTTGTGTGCATTTGAGTGTACATGTATGGCATGAATGTGGAGGCCAGAGAGCAATCTTGGGGTCAGTCCTTAAGTGTTGTCCACCTTTCTTTTCTGTTTTAATTTCTTTGTTTTAAGAGACAGGGTCTTTCATGGGCCTGGAATTTACCAAGTAAGTTAGGCTGGCCCGCAAGACCCAGAAATCCATGTCCCTGGCATGGGAATTCTGAGTGTGTGTCATCACACCTGGCTTTTAACAACAACAAAAAAGTTTTCTGCCAATCCAAGTCAGTTCACCTCATGTTTGGTGCTTTGCTAACTGAGACCCTTTGTTACAGATGGTTTTTGAAGTTGGTTCTTTTAATACCAGATTCCAATGGGCTATGAACTAGCATGTTCTTAAAAGTCAGTTCTCTGCCTCTAGGCTGTAGGTAGCTTGAGACTGACACACTGAGGTAGTATTGAGGTGAATGGGAAGAGGACTGATTAAGGATGTCTCTATTCTTCCCTCTTCCTTCATCCCTTCATACCAATTTCCAGCCAGCTCCTCTTAAGAAGAGCTGACTGCCACAGCTAAGGGGCTCTTTCTCTTCTGTACCTCCACCTTTCTGTGCCCTCCTGAATTAGGAGACAGCCCTAGTTCTACATCTCCAGCCTCACCTGCAGGAGCAGCTCCCTCAGGCGTTGCAGCTGAGACTCTAACTGCTTGTTGTGGTCTTCAAGGATCTGCATACGTGTCTCCAGGCGGCTCTTGTGCTGCCTCAGGATCCTGGCTTCAGCCAGAAGCTCTTCATTGCGGTGGTCTGGAGTTGCTTCAGTGGAGCCCTCAGCCAGGGTGGGTGCCTCAGCTGCTTCCTCATGCTGCCATTTCAGGCGCCTCAGCTCTCCCTGGAGAATCCTGACATGGACATGGAAGCCAAGACATAGGGCTTTAATAGGGTCAACTAACTATCTAGATCCCACAGGTCCTTTCTTCCCCAGGTGTGAGAGGGTCTCTGTGATCTCCCAAGCCAACCCCTGGCGAGGCTTTGCTTGAAATGGCCATAGCCACTTCCTCTTGAGTCCACTTGACATTTACTCTGCCATCCTGAGACCTCTGAGCAGTGAACTGACATTTCACATACGAAATGTCTTCAGGCTTTGATGTTTTGGGGGATTAGTTTTGACCTTCAAGAGAAGGTAAGAACATGTTCTGCAAATAAAAACGGCACTAGTGCCAATGGCTTACCTATTCTACTTACAGATTTTTAGATTCGTGGTGAAGACATTGCATAAATAAAGAGATCACCGATCTTGCCTCTTCTCTCTACAGCCCTCAAATTTGACCTTCTTTGAATGTTCATAATGGGTTCTCAAGCAAACACTCCAAAGAGACAGCCTACTTTTAGGCACACCACTTTCTATTGTTTGGGAAAACAGAATCATGCTCTTCCTAGCATTTATGGGAGCCTGCTCTCTACTGCTTTAATGTAGCAGTTCTCTAACCTCCCCTGGTGAAACCAAGGTGTTTTTTGTTGTTTTGTTTTTTATTTTTTTATATTAATTACAGTTCATTTACTTTGTATCCCAGCTGTAGCCTCTTCCCTCATTCCCTCCCAATCCCACCCTCCCTCCCTCATCTCCTTCCTGTCCCTCTCTAAATCCACTGATGGAGGATGTCCTCCTCTCCTTCCATCTGATCCTAGCTTATCAGATCTCTTCAGGACTGGCTACAATGTCCTCTTCTGTGGCCTAGCAAGGCTGCTCCTCCCTTAGGGGTGGGGAGATCTAAGAGCCAGCCACTGAGTTCATGTCTGAGACAGTCCCTGTTCCCCTAACTTAGAAACCCACTTGGATACTGAGCTGCGATGGGCTATATCTAGTCAGGGGTTCTAGGTTATCTCCATGCATGTTCCTTGGTTGGAGAAACAGAGATGCAAATCAAATCGACCCTGAGATTTCACCTGACACCCATCAGAATGGATAAGATAAAAAACTCAAGTGACAACACATGCTGGAGAGGGTGTGGAGAAAGAGGAATCCTCCTCCATTGCTGGTGGGAATGTAAACTTGTACAACCACTCTGGAAATCAATCTTGCGCTTTCTCAGACAATTAGGAATAGCGCTTCCTCAAGATCCAGCCATACCACTCCTAGGTATATATCCAAAAGATGCTCAAGTACACAACAAGGACATTTGCTCAACCATGTTTGTAGCAGCTTTATTCGTAATAGCCAGACCCTGGAAACAACCCAGATGTCCCTCAACTGAGGAATGGATACAGAAATTGTGGTACATCTACATAATGGAATACTACTCAGCAATGAAAAACAAGGAAATCATGAAATTTTCAGGCAAATGGTGGGATCTAGAAAAGATCATCCTGAGTGAGGTATCCCAGAAGCACATGGGATATACACATGGTATATACACATGTATATACACATGGTATATACTCACTTATAAGTGGGTACTAGACCTATAAGATAGGATAAACATACTAAAATCTGTACACCTAAACAAGAAAGAGGACCCGGGGTAAGAGGATTAATCCTCACTTAGAAAGACAAATGGGATGCATATTGGAAATAGGAGAAAACAAGTAACAGGACAGAAGCCTACCACAGAGGGCCTCTGAAAGACTCTACCTAGCAGTGTATCAGAACAGATGCTGAGACTCATAACCAAACCTTGAGCAGAGTGCAGGGAATCATATGAAAGAAGGGGGAGTTAGTATGACCTGGAGAGGAAAGGAGCTCCACAAGGACCAAATATGTCTGGGCCCAGGGGTCTTTTCTGAAACCAAGGTTTTGATACTAGTTCACTCCATTGCATACTGATAGCTTGTCCTAATGTTCACAACTAGTCCATAGTACATACCATTGCTGTCCCCTACCGTATACTTTCAACAACACTCACATTGATCTTTAGCCTATTCAGTGTGATGGACTTACACAAATTATGTGCTTTATCCTGACAGTGTCAGGATCCTGTATGTTTGGGCATTTATCCATCCTGCACTAGCAACATATACTTTGCAAACTAGTCCTCACCCAAGAAACATTGTTCTAAGTCTTGGCATGCCAAGGGTGGTGTGGAGACCAGTGACATTCATATCCCCTGATAGCTGGTTAGAAACAGAAATTCAGGCCCTCCACACTGGGGAGTGAGGACTTGCATTTTCCCAGACTTGCCATTGTCTCCTGTGCACACTGATGCCTGAAAAACCCTGCTGTAAGAGGCTCTGCAGATGGTACTTCCCTCCCGCCAAGAGCCTTCAACCTTCCATAGGTCCATGCAGCCAACTCTATTTTTGAGGAGATTAATGCCGTCCTTAATGCCGTTTCTTCTGGTTCAGAAATGATGCATGTAGTGCCACAACCCGCTGGGATAGTTTCACTCAGTACCTAGTATTGCTTTTTTTAATTTTAATTTTATTTTTATTAATGAGAGTTTATTCACTTTGTATCCCAGTTGTAGCCCTCTTCCCCATAAAGTATTTCTTTCTAGTTTTAGTACTAGAACTTTTTTTAGAGCAAGGACAGTTTATAGTCTTGTCTGCATTCTTCTACTGTACTCTCTACCTGTATCTAGTGGGTACTAGGAAAAGTCGGGGTTATATTAAAAGTACTCAAACAAATATTAGAAGAGCTAGCATTGATTAACCCTTACTGTAAACCAGCCAGTAGACTTACACATTCTATGTTCCATCTCATTTGGTCTTTAAAGTAACCCTTGGCAGTTGATATCATTATTATCTCTATTATACAAAAAAGAAAATAGAAGGTCATAGGATGTAAGTGACTCGATCCAGATTATATATAGCCCATGAAGCGTTATGATTGAAACTCAAGCTGCCAGTCTCTGGCACCCACCAAATTTATGCCATGACCAAACCTACCGGTTCTCGTCTTCTAAATGAGCCAGGATCTTCTCTAGTCCCCCCTTGCTTTCTGTGCCCATACTGCATGGAGCCTGCTGTCCAAAGGCTGGCTCTCGGTCTGTGATGGGGCTGGAGTGCCGCAACAGGTACTGGTCCTCATCTCTGCATGGGTGTAGGAAGAGGAAAGGAGGTGACCAGCTGTTCGACCCAGAAACAAGTCATAGAGCCAGTTCTTGGATCCAAGTTTAGCCTCCAGGAAACGTATGCCTGCAGTTTCACTTTGAAGTCACAGAAAGAAAGCCAGGCCTCAAGTTCAGGCTTTACGATGTTGAAAGAGGCAGTATCTGAGAGAGGATTGGGAGACCCCAGAATTTCTGAGGTCTTCTCTTAAGTATAATGAGGAAATCACTTTTCTTTCTGTGTTGTTTCCCCCCCCTCCTTATGTCCCTTTCCTTTCTCACCCTCCAGAAGGATCTGAGTCTGTCAAGAGCAGATCATCCCTTGTAGTCAACTGTTCCTAGGTCTTCTTTAGAGGCAAAGGGCTTCTCTTAAAGATGCAAGGACTTTCTCTGTGTGCTATAGTATCAGGCCTCCCTTAGGCCACACTTCAGTCAAGTCTCTGATTTCTCTTAGGGATAGTGTGGTATTAATGGGGTTTTGTATCTTGAACACAAGTTAATGGCTCCTTTCTGTAATTTTAGACATAAGGTTTTTTCTCTTCCCTGAAGTTGGGCATGGAAGGATGGGATCACATGATAGGAAGGGGCTTGGTAGATGGCTATGTTGACAGATGGGAAATTGCTTCTTTTATGAAATACTGTAGCCAGGAAGCAGCCTTCCTTCCTTGGGGAATCAAGGACCCTAGCCACCAGCCTCCCATTCCCTTGAAGATATACCATTCCCATTCAGTGGCAGAAGGATTCCCAAGGACAGCTATTTCTGGAAAATTAGCAGCTATGTAAACTCACATGCTGTCATCCGGGGACAAGCTGTCATTAAAAAAGGAACAATTTTGGCTTTCCATCTCAGCAAGCCTAGAAAGAAAGAGCCACAATAGCAGATAAAGCAGGACACAGGGCCTGCTTCCATCTCCAGCACTCTAATGGTGCAAAAGTATCACTGATTTAGAGAGCTGCCCCCCACCTACCACCATTGAAGACTGGGCCTTGCTGGCCAGTGGCACATTCCACTCTGCACCTCCCTGACTCATTCTAATTATCCTTCTCCTTGGATTTCCTACAAAATCCCCACTCCCACTGAAAAGTAATGGTACCTGCTGGCAAAATGTTCAATTCGAGAGTGTGTGTCAGCATGTGGCAACATCGGGGAAGAAGACAGTCTGGAAAAAAAGCAGAAGAGATTCAGGAGACCAAAGATGATTGAATACCTGTCTCGTCATCACCCTCACCCCTACACTGCCAAGATGGCAATAAAAGACAAAGAGTGGACCCTACTCTTTCTCAGGCGAGAGTCTAGATCAGGCTTAAGAGGAACTGCACTGTCACTTGGTAGTTTACACCTGGGAACAATGTCCAGCTCATCTGGGACTCAGCCCCTTTGCAGCACATAGGTGAGCTGAATGAGATCACCCACATCCTCTGCCCAGGCACTGGTACTCACGTCTCACTGCACTCGCTCTCCAGCACTGACTGCACAGGCAGATAACCCCGCTGAGGATGTTTGCTGAAATACTGCTTCGAGCGGAATTTATTCTTTAAGGTTGTGGCAAAATCCCTCATGTTCTCACTGGATGTGGTCTGCAGGGAGATGGAACAGAGAGACTCCCATTAGTGACATCCAGATACTATGAGGTACTGTGACTCTTATGCTAGAGCACAGAATGTGACTGGTACCCCACTGTTGTTTGGGCATACCATACCCTCCCAATTAAAAAAAAATGTCTCAAAGACTACACCTTAACCTCCGAATACTGGTTGCCTCTATGAAGGTAGGCTGGAGGGGTGAGGGGAAAAGAAGACTTTCATTTTAAACTTGGAACACCTCTACCTGCATCGTTTGAATCTTTACAGTGAGCATGCTACATTTAAAAATGTCTTTTCTGTTGTTATTATGCTGGGCTTGTTCAGGTAAACATATTGTTGAAAGAAGAAAGGGTTCTTCACTGTCAAGCATAGAGGACACTATCTCACAGCAGGTGGCTTGCTCTTCTGGCTCTTACAATCTTTCCATCCCCTCTCTTGCGATTTTTCCCTCAGTCTTGGGTACAGGGTTTGTGTTGAAGATCAATCCGTCAAAGGTGGGCACCCCACAGTCACTTATTATCTACACTGTAACTTGTGGATCTCTGTAATAGTCTCCATAATGACACCACCAGCTGACATGCCAACACAGACAGGGGAAATTCCACATGGTCCAACCCCTAGTTGAAGAGCTAGAAGGGGTTAATGCCTGCTGAGAGAGAAAGAACCATTCTTCTCCAGAGACAAGCATCCACATAGGTTATCCAATCCCAAATAGTCAGCTCTGGATACATGTACATACTAGCAAAGCTAAGTGGACTCAGTAGGTTATATATACACATATGCATACATACATATGTACATATATATACATATATATATATATACACACATACATATATAAATTTGGGAGGGGACACAGCAAAAATTTAAGGGGATAGGAGTGTGTAGATACACTGCTCATCTATGAAGTTGTCAAAAAATAAAATTATATAAAAACCTTTTTTATGAATTCCTTTTTACAGAATTTGAAATTGTATTTATTTACTTTGTGTGTCTCTGTGTGTGTGGGGGGGGGTGCACTGTAGTATGCAAGTGGAGGTCAGAGGACAACTCACAGGAGTTGGTTTTCTTCTTCTACCATTTGTGTTCTAGGAATTAATCTCCAGCCATCAGGCTTGGCACAAAGTGCCTTTACCTGCCAAGCCACCTTGCTGCCCCTTATTTTCTATAAATTCTAGGAGTGGGGAAGATGAACAGGAGGTAGAGGATTATCAGCTTATCTCTTCTAGCTAGTTTGCTCTGTTTGCACTTTATACTGCTTTATGTAAATTATTATAAAGGAAAAGTAAAGGGCATGCCCTTATTCCTGCTGGCTCACACATTCTTGTCCTAAAATAATTGAACATAACACCTTTAAAAAAAAAGTGGGTTGTGAAGAAACAGGTTGAAAACGGAGATGTGGGAGAAGGGAGGAACTCCAGTGTAGTTGGAGTTCTGGAAGAATCTAATAAGAGAACAGAAAAGTATAAAGATATCAAGTGAGCGGCTGGAGAGATGGCTCTGCAGTTCAGAGCACTGCTGTTCCAGAGGACTCTATTCTCACAGGTTCTATTCCCGGCACCCATACGGCTGGTAGGCAGCCCAAAACTGTTTATTACTCGAGTTCCAAGGGATCTGACACTCTCTTCTGGCACCTCAAGTGCAAGTGGTCCACAGATATACAATCAGGCAAAGCACCCAGGTGCATAAAAAAAAAGAAGAAATCTTAAAAGACACTGAGGGGCGGACCTCAGGATGCTACACATGTAGCTACCCTGTGGCTGAGTTCAGGGACACTGACCAAGATGGGCTCAGGCAGCTGTGAAGGGAAGGCTGCCCATGGAAACCAAGCACAGTCTGCAAGTACAGGTCAAAAACATTGTTTCCTTTTAGTGGACTGAGCAATCTGAGCACAGACTTTGGTACTGGAAAGAAGGAGTAGGAAGAAATGACAAAGTAGCAGGAAGAAACTCAGGGATTCAGTACAGGAGCTATACAAGAAGCTAGGCAGAAAAACTCACATGATCAAGAGAAAGGGAGGTACCTGGAAACATCTTGCCCCCCCCCCCCCCACCCCGGGACATTTTCTTTCTGCAACAAAACAGTTAATGCTAATTAAAGGACTAAGAGTGCCCTAGTCAACTGTGGCTCCAATGACAGAGAATCTGTAATGGAAGACTAGAGGGGCCTGAATCTCCCAAACCAGTGAATTCCTAATGTTTGGTAATGCTCCATTAGGAGAGCTGACACCTATGTGCCAATGCTGTGAAGAAAGGATTAAAACCTAGTGTCTAAGAGATGACCACCCCTCCCACCTGATGAGGAGTCTCCATACCGGTGTGTAATATTCCATGATGGGATAGTGGAGCTTGTTGCCTTTGCTGGCCCTGCCTGTCAAGAAGCAAGTCTGGCAGATATCCACATTAAACTGTTTCAGACTCCGGTACCTTAGGGAGAGAAGACGTGGTCACAAAGATAATCTAATGTATCACAGTAACCTCATCATTTCCCCAAACCAAATACACACAGAAGAGAATGAGGTTTATCCTATGATATCTAGTGGTGTGAAGTCCTCAACAGGTGAGTAGCCTTATTCTAGAGACCACAAATCCTCATTAAAACACAGGATGCAGATCCCAGGAAGTGTGGGAAAGAACATTGTTTCAGCCACGTTTTAAAGGAGGGCCAGGTAAGAGCAAACATCTCATTGTGGTAGCTTTCTTTCTTTCTTTCTTTCTTTCTTTCTTTCTTTCTTTCTTTCTTTCTTTCTTTCTTTCTTTCTTTCTTTC